TGTTCTTTCTCCATGTCCCTTCCGGGGCTCCGTAGGAACTAACTTAACGAGAGTATAATCAAAATTCAAATCCTTTCCCTTTTGGCATTCATGATTCAAGGTGATTTTCATTTCCCCAGGTTACAGTGCCACCGTGCAGCCCACAATCTGATGAAGCAGTAGATAAAATTCCGTCATATCAACGCCTTTATGCATTCAGCTCTTTGATTAACTTGCTCTTTTGTGCAGCGACATGTTAATGCGAACCAAAGGCAGCCTCTAATTAATTTGCATATGGAAGCAGAGGCATATAGATGACTGCAGGAGAAAGCTGCTGATTTGAGGGCAGGAAAAAAAGTGTTGATAGTTTTCAGCTGCTGTATTAGTGCCACCCACTGGCTAATTCCAGCTAACAGCACTCCTTCTGTAGACAAAGAACTCAGTGGGAGCCGCAGCTGTGATTCCCACGATTATTCATAAATCCGCCGCAAAAACAAATGGATTTATAATCAGTTTTAAATCACTCATTAGATCTGTGCCCTAGGACGCGCCTCCTAAAGTGAGAAACTGCGGTGCTAACCTCTGAATAAGTGATGTCATTATGCTTCAGCGCTCCAGCAGTGTAAAAAGGCGTGTGTAGCTGACAAAACAATCTCATCTCAAGGTTGGTTTGGTAGCTGTTCTGGAGCTTTCGATCATATCACATCATCTTGTTTGACAGATGATTTTTTTTTTTCCCCTTCCCTGAGGTTCGAATTCAGATTTATGCGGGTTTAGAAAAAGGCCAGAATATGAGCAGTGTGGCTCCACTAAATCTGCAACCAGTTCAGTGTTAATGAAGCAGGCTTTGATTTAAACCAAACTTTCCCAGGGGAAAAATAAAAAAAAAAAAATATTGGCATTCCCCTTTACGTGCTGGAAGATGTTTCTCAGTGGCACGCGAGGGAAGGAATAAGAATAGAGTAAAAAGCATGTATTACCTCTTCCTTTACAATCCAAAGCCAAGACAATGTATTGTGTCTGCAGGGCGAATAGTGTTCACGCCGGATAAGAAGCCCACAGTACAAAGCCTATTACATAAGGCTGCGTCTCAACATTGTCACTGGTTTCCCTTCCAAAGAATACCATTTCATTTTATCTCTGTTTACAAATAGTGCAGCAACAGTTGTGTGAAAAATAAAAAAAATCAAGCGTCTTGTATTGTTGAGGGGATGCTTGGCCACAGGTCACAGAGAGGAGGAGGAGGAGAGGGGAGAGGGAGGGTTGGGAATAATAAAGGAGGGGTGGTTTTGACAATGGAAAGTGCACTTATTTAAAGCACAATGCAGAAAGAAGTATTGACTGTACAGGAAGGGGTGGGGTGGTGGCGGTGGTGGTGGTGGTGGGACACAGAGGGGAGGAAACTGCTTAAAAACAAGGTGACGCCTGCGTGACACACACTGACTGGACCTGGCCAGGAGAGAAGAAGGTTCCACAAAAAAGAAAAAAAAAACTCTCTGCCACCCTCGTGTTTGAAACTACTTTATTTCTCCCAATGCAAAGGCAGCTGCTTTGAAGCTACTGTTTGATTTCAGGGCCATAAATTCGACTCACCGGGGTGAACTCTGGTGCACCTCGACGTCTGAGGAGGAACAGCTCCCAACATTGTTTGCGTCAACTTCGGGAAAAAGGTAGGTGAGACCCAGTCTAGGCGGGGAAGTGGTTGATGTGGATAACTTCAAGGTAAAACAACAAGGAGAATACCGGGTTATATTTAATGCATGCAGGTTTGGGTTGTTGTTCCTACACAGTTATCAGTGTTTCCTCTCCCTGTGTTTTGTTGTAGCAGCTGTGCTTGAGGGGATTCATTTTAGTTTTGGCAGCGGACGCGTCCCCGCTTTTGTTCCAACTTCTGATTTTAGCGCAGTCTGCAGTGCCAATACTGTTGTTCTTTGGATACTTCACAAATAAATTAAGAGGAGAGGGGTGGGGGGGGAGAAAAAAATAAGAATACCCCAAACATTTGGATTACATTTTTTTAATAGAGGGACATGCTGCTTTAATTGTTTTTTGCTCTCATTTTAATTTCCCATTTTCTCTGGAGGTGGTGTTGTTATTCTTGCTGCAGTGGCAACCCCGCCGCCTGAGTACAGAGGAAATGTCGTGCCGCTGCTGAGGTCATGGACAAATTCCTTTTTTCTTTTTTTTTTTTTGTCTCTCTGCTTTCTCTGTCTACATCAGCAGGTGTTATGGATCTACAGTATTTCCTGTGCTGGAGAGTTGCCCCATTGTTTCTCTTGAGTAAGGCTCTTTTTTTGTTGTTGCTTTAACCAACATCTTAATGATTTGTTGTTTAAAAAGAGATGTTCTTTTCTAATGGGTTCAAACAAACTATTTTTGAACATTTGTTTTCTGCCATCAATAAAAGACAGAACCTTTAAAATTTTGCACCATTACACAAAAGACTAATGGTGAACTGTCTCTTGCGTTGATGGCGTTATTTACATTTCCTCCATCCTTTGGCCTATCAAGTTAGGACACATGATTAATAGCCCTTCTGATAAATGCACATAGACTTGACACAGATTTTAGGATATTGATGTGGTTTGATGGATATCGCATTAGGCATGGCTCTCAAGCGCTATAAATCATCACTTGACATTATTTGACAGAAAGTAGCCATATATATTCATAAAGCATATGCAGAGGATGGAGATGACGTGCGGTCTCGTGCCGTTGTTTGTTTTATAATTCTGTCCCGTACAATGCAAACATGCCGCAAGTCAAATCTGATGAAGCGCTCAGGCTACCTGGCCAGTCGAGTAGAAACGCAAACTATATGAGGCATGTAAGTAAAAGCAACAGACGCTGAAGTGTGAACTACAAAAAAAAAGATTAAATCTCTGTCCTCAGTGCCATGTGGGCTCCAGAGTATATCGGTGCACATCCTCAACCAGCAGCCGGTGCACGTAGTCCTCGACTCCAGGCTGGTTCTGAAAGCCCGGATCGCGATGGGACCCCTGGAAGAGGTCTCCATGGTAACCTGGGAACGGGAGCCTGAAACTGGAATCGCTTCTGCGAGAGTGACGCTGGCCACGTGTCCTGGCAGAAGCCTCAAGTGTGCTGGTACGAGGCCAAATGTCCGTGTGAGCACAGAGCAGCAGGAGACGACACTTCAGATTAATGGATACAGCCGAGAGGACAGCGGCGTGTACGCTGTGACTGTGACAGATCACACAGGAGCCAAGACCACTGCACACTGCATCGTCAGGGAATACGGTACAGTGTGATATGCGGCACATGAGGGAATTTATTGTGACACTCTTAGATAAATCCCCTTTGCTTGGTAAATTATGTGTACAGTCACTTTATTACATTGTCAATTGATATAGGTCCCCACTCCACAGTGCTCGATGCAACAGAAGTTACTTTCCTCTTTACAGAGATGTTCTGTGACACCTTGTGCCACCGCAGCATGAAGCAATATCAAGTTCCAAGCGCCTGATCTTGTGAAAGGAGCCATTTCAAGCTGAGACGGAGCATTACGACGCTCTTTAACTTAAAAAAATTACAAACATTTGAAGGTTAAAGCTTCTCCTGTTTGAGGATTTGCATTTTAAACGTAATCCCTTTGTTGACTAATCACCTCACCTCCAGGCCCGTTTAGTAGCCGTTTGAGCTTTTTGATCGTAAAACATTTTCTCTATCAGCTGATAAAGGGTTCCCAGTTGTCAGGGAATTGTAGATTTCCATTTTGTCCTTGTTTCCATCTTAAAAGTTAAGGTTCAAGCCTTACGTTTGGATCTACTTGGTGTTTGATTTCAGACAAGAAAAAAAAAAGTTAATTTATAAACTAAACAATGCAAAACTAATGTCATAGATCTATTGATAGTATATATTATCTAGCTGCTGATTCCTCTGCAGGTAAATATGTAAAAAGTCAGAGGAAAGGTCACAAGATGCTGCGGCTGCCAGATGGTGCCAAAGTTAGTTGAAATAGGGAATTATAAATATAAATACTGCTGCAACATTAATTTAAAAACTTTACATAAATCTCTTCCAAGTAATGATATGAAAATAGGCACCTTTCAAATACTCATCAGTTGATGGTATTCTGGCCTTTCACGTGTTAACTCCAACAATTACCAACAGTGTAATGAATGTGCTTTAATTTCACTCCAGCAGGCATTGTTTTCTTCTGATGGAGGATGTCTCATTTAATAATGTAACACTCGAAATTAAATTTGCCTAAAGGCTTTGCCTTCCTGGTCTTCCTCTTTGTTTCTGTCCCTCTAGATGACTCTGGTCTCATTGTAGCTTTCAAGTTTTCTGCCAAAGCTTCTCTGCTTTTACTCTCGTCTGTCTGCTCTAACGGTATCAATTCATCAGCTCCACTCTTCTCTACATCTGCTCGCTCAGCTTCCAGGGTTTTCCATCATCCCATTCTCCAACATTATGCCTCTCTCTCTGATCTCATTATTGTCTCTGAAACGGAGCCAGTTTCTCCTGACAGCATTAAATGTCTCTCATGATTCTTTGTCTTAGACCCTCTTGGACAGCCATGCGCCATTATTCTTCTTTTATAACAGATAGATGCCCACGGCTGGGCATTTCATGTCTCCTCTTGTTTCTGTCCTCCTCTGAGTTTTTACCTCCCTACTTATCATCTATTTTCATATTTATCCTCGTCTCCCGGTCATCTGTCTTCCCAGAGGCAGTTCACCACGTCTCCGTCAGCATCAACACGTCTCACTCGTCTCTGGTTTGTGGCGAGGCCTGGGGGACGGACCCCACCTTCAGCTGGCTTTACGAGAGAGCCGCCATCACCCAGACTGTGGGAGAAATCGCAGACAATGGAACAACATTGTATGTGAAGATGACTCCTATTTGTGGCCACTTCACCTGCATGGTGAGCAACAAGCTGGGCTACAGCACTGCCACATACACTGCGGGTAAGAGAGCTGACTTTCATCTGTGTGCTGGTGAAACAACAATACTGTTCTTAGAAATGCACAATTAACAATAGGAGTGTAAAATGAAAGGGCTCACCTGTAGCGACGAACCCACTGATACAGCTTCCATCATCTCTGTGGAGGGTTTTTCAGCTTTTTGTTTATGTTTGGTGACCCGTAGCTTCACTTTTGTGGTTCACTGTCACCGCGCGTAGCATCCTGTTTTTCCCCGTATTTACCTGCTGAACACTAAGTGTCCAACACCAAAAGGCAGCCACACAAAGTCAGACACAAGCAGGTGAAAGCAGCGGACCATTTAGCAGCTAAACAGATAAGAGACATTTCCCTCAGGAGTTGGACACCACGGCAGAGTTAAAAGGGAGAGCCAACAAAGGACTTAACATTAACAAGGCGGCCACAAACTTTCTCAGGGTGAAAATATGAATTGTAAAATGCATGCACAGTTTTGATGGTATTTAATTTTATGCTAAATGTGCTCCACTAAATTTCGCAATAAATCCGTGCGTTAACGTGACAGGCAGCTACTCGCAAAATTGAGATGTTACATATAAATGATTGTATTGTGCATGCAAATCATGCATACCCAGCTGTGTATGAACATAAAGTAATGCTAATTTTCTCCATTTTGTTAGGAAATTAGCAGATGTTGCCTGCATCCTAATACTTCATACAGTATGTTTATGTAAGAATGAACCACTAGTCTAATAAATGTAACACTTGGAGTACCTGTGGCTTACATCTAAGTATATATAGTGTCCATATTTGTACTTAAGTAAATGATTATCATGCAAGACTTTAACTCATAATGGAGCATTTTGAAATTTCTGAATATTTGTTTCACCATGAGATTGAATGAGATCACGAAATCATGGAAATGTTTAACGACCATCCAGGCGAATCAGCTGATTGGATGTAAAAACACCCATTAACATCTCATTTAAAGTCAGCTCGCTGTGTTGTCATGGATATTCAGGAATCAGACTCTTCCGTGTCGTGTCTCGTGTCCGTCTGAGCCGTGTCCTGATTGCACTTTGTTCTGTGTATTGTATCACTGGTGGTGTTTCAGTGATAAAGGATTTTCCAGCGTGCGATCAATAAATCACTACCCGCCGCCACTGCTACTGCTGCTGCTACCACTGCCGCTAAACAGGCGAGACAAATGCAATTCTTCGTATCTGCCAAGAGGCATGATGATCCAAAGACAGTCAGGGTATTTTAGGATGCCTCCTGTTATCTCTTGCTGTTCCAGTCAGCTTGGTGACTGAACAGACTTGTTGCAGTGGACCTTTCCGGCGTTTTAAAGCTGCCACGTCAGATGACTTGTGTGTTTTTTTTTCCCTGCCCTTCTCATTGGTTGTCTTTTTTTTTTTTTCCCCTGATTGACAGCACCTTGTGAGACCGAGGGCAGAGGGATGATGGTGGCTGTGGTGTGTCTCGTCCTGCTGCTGCTGCTGGTTGGAGGAGCCTTGGCATTCGTGCTGTGGAGGTACATTAACGCACATAGACACTGGCAGACACACACAAATCTCATTTCAGGCTATGCTCTGATGATAAAGCCATATGCTGTGAGAAAATAAGACACGGGTACTAGCAGCCTTTAAAAAGGACAGGGGAGAAAAAAAAAAAAAGCAGGGGGTACAAAATGAAACACGACGTCCACCCACACGATGTGCAGCATGCATGAGGCATGACAGGCCGGGCTGTGTCTGCTGACAAAACAATTGTCGTTTTTTTACTCGAGGTAGCGTACAGTTTGTCACTGCCGTTTGATCTAAATTGAACACTTGGTTTCTTTTCAGGAGACACAGGCACAATAACAGAGGCGAGAGGCTGCGCGAACACTTGGATGACACCATCTAAGAGAAATGGGCCTGAGCTACGCTTTTGTTACTCGGAGATGGAGAAGAAGAAATGGACTGGACTGCGAGGGAGGACTTTCCTGTCCCTGTTAGCAGTATGACCTTACACTGCATTCGAACAATGTGAAGAGCGAACTGCTTTCTGACAAATAAAAAAAAAAAAGAAAGAAAGAAAATATCCACAAGTGGATATTTGTATTCAAGTACCAGCGGCGTCCTTCCACTGCCTCCTGCTGGGCTCCACCTGAAACTGTGCATTTAATAAAGGACTCGTTTTGTAAGCTTGTATCAGCATTGTATCAAAATGTACTGTATTGCTTTCATATTGAAATCCCTGTACATAATGTGACAGCTCACAACAATATCTTAGACAGTTTCATTTTGAAGCGATGTTTAATTTTTTTTCATATAGATGTGAGTTATCTGTTTTTTTTTTCTCTCATCTACTGTAATTGTTAATGTTTAGTTTTGTGCCATCATGCATGTAAGTTCACCGCTTTGCACCCTTCCAATAAAGGTTGAAGACAGCACTTGAAGTCTTTAATAGAAGCAACACAAAACAGTAAATCAGTGTCGGTGGTTTTATGGTTGTCCATCCTATAATAATTGTTTATGACGTTATTGGACCAGCAAACCCTGTTTGAAACATTGCCTAGAGACACAACACATGAACAACTTGCTCTTTCCACTTCGTTATTAAGCAAATATATGAGCAGATTTTCTATTCTTCTGGTGGGAAAGAAGAAACTTCAGAAGCTGCTGTTGCTCTTTTGAGCAGAAATAACTTTTTGTTGGTGTTTTGCATAATTGTAAACCAGTCTCCGATATAGGTTTGCTCATATTTTTGACCGCTCTTCCATGCAAAATTCCTTTAGCTGCAAGATGTTTGAGGGCTTCCTTGCGTGCACTTCTCATCTCAAAAGCAAAAACATTTCAGTAGGATTCAAATCTGGGCTTTTATTAAGCCATTCTATAAGCCTCTATGGTTTTTTTATAGATTCATTCCTTGGTGAATTTGTTCGTGTACTTGGGATCATCATTATGTTGAATAGTCCACTCCCAGTTCAACTCAACAGATGGCCTCACATTATCATCAAGTACTCTTTGATATATGGCAGAATTTATACTTGAATCATTGACTGCAAGCTGCCCAGTCCCTGAGGCCACAGAGTAACTCCAAACCCCATTTTTAACACCATGCTTCACACTTGGCATGAGGGATTTTTTTTTCCTGAAAAGCCACCTTTGTTCTGCACACATATCGACTGTTACCGTGGCCAAACAACTCGCTTTGATTCGTCTGTCCAGAGCACATGATTCCAAAAGGCCCGGTCTTTGCCGAAAATGTTCATTAGCAAACTGTAGTTTGCTCTAATGTTCTTTTTGGAAAGCAGAGGCTTTTCTCTGGCACATCTCCTGTGTGGGTCAAATGCGTGCAGTCCCTTTCTGAGTGTAGACGCATGCACTTTGACACCAACAGTTGCAGCAGTTACCTGCAGATCCTGTGATGAAAAATCTCTTTTTGGCATTGAACGGTTTCCTCTTGGGTTAATGTGTTGGGCCAGCCAATGGCGGTCATTTGAAATGTATGCCACTTGTAGATAATTTTGCTTACAGTGGGATGACTTCAAATCATTTCGAGATCATTTTAAATTCCTTGCCAGTCTCGTAGTCATCTACAGCAAGAGCACTGCGAAGGCCTTAGAGAGCTCCTAAGATCTTGGCATGATGACACGACGCACTTCGGTTGCAAAGGGAACACCAGACAATAGATGCCAGAGGTTTTAATAGACAGACTCCACCTGCCACATTATGAATTTCTAAGCATTGCCACCTAATCTGGGACATTTGATTCTGTTTTTATGGATTTAAAGGAGTGATAAATGTAGGGATGTGTATAGTTTTTCCGTGTAATGTCAATTATATGTTATTTCAGTATATTGCCTTTATTACTAGGCAAGAGGATCAAATGTTTTGCACATTCAAATGTGTTAAAAAACATAAATATTAATGTTAATTAGTACAGTATCAAAGATACAGATTGATTTAAGTATAGAAAAACTGTACTTTGTTGTTCCTCATATCAGAAGAAAAAACAACATGAAGTCCTCATAGCAAATACGTTACATTTTTTAATCTATTAAAAATATATGTAAAAACCACAAGAAATTTAAAAACGAGTAAAAAATTGAAGACACTAGAGGCTTATAATAGGAAACCGCTATAATTAGGATGAGATCTTTGGCACTGAATGCAGCCTGACGTGGTGTGTTTTCAGTGCGATGTTGGTCCCAGCCCATTGTGAATTCAACGTGTGCGATTCGTAGCTTACATTTATCGTCTGGGATCGCTGTTAATTTGAGTTTTGTTTTGTGTTTTTTTTTTTTTTTTCCTCTGGCTGAATAAAGTGTTCTTGGTGTTCATCCAGAAAACCGTCGATTGTGTGTGCAAAATAGCACTGTGGACGCATTATCATCCACTCTAGCAGTGTTCACTTTCACGGTACACCCATCCCATTCAAACCCCTTTAACCTCCAGCAGTGTTATCGCTGGGCGTCATAGAGCTACAGAGGACCACATGGAGGAAAAGGAACCAAAGACCCGGAGGTCAAAAGGAGGACAAGTTTTATCGGGTGGAGAAGGAAAAAGCAATAGAACATCTGCCGTGGAAGTTTAGGTGTGCCTATGGGAGTTTAAGCCAAAAATCGTTTCTGCTTTCTATGCACATATTTCAAAATATATCAAAGAAAAGTCACTCCATTTCGTTAATATTGCTAGACCTTAAACCGATACAAGAATAGCTGATAGAGCTTACAGCTCCCTGAGGCCATATCCCGAAGAGGAAAAGACAATGATGAAATATTATGAAAATAGAAAGAAAACTGGAGGGAGAGGTGTGGAATACAAATCACTCACTACTGAAGTTAAACTGTTCCGACTTTGTACGCACCTACCATTTGAATGTATCCGTCCTGTATGAAACGGAAAGCTTCATGAGCCTCTGCAAAGCTATAGACAATATGTGAAATTATACATCACACAGACCGGACTGAACTGTGTCCAGACGATCCCTCTGAAAAGCACTTTGACCGTATAAAAGCATAAAAGGAGGGCAGAACATTCCTCAAACGGCTTCCTCTCCAGATTTGTGCCAAAATCCCCTCTGTCACAAGCCCATTAGTGCTGCTCCCATTGTATTGTTAGCCTACCCTATGCTCCCCTGCATCCATGTGCCTCCCATCAGAATACAGAGGAGATGGAGGTGCAGGAGAGGCACATACATCATGTGGAAGAGAACCTGAACGTTGCACAGCCCAAGCTGAACACGCAAAAAGTGAATGTGTTGCAAAGACATCCTCAGTATAGTGCGTGGATCCAAAGAAAATGAATGACTTTGAAACTCATCTAATTTGATTTGTCAGCTCATGTTAAGCATTTCTACATTGTCAACAAAATTAAGACCAAAACCATGTTTGTGTAGCCTGATTTAACTTTTTTTTCCCCAGAAACTATTAAAGTCAAATCAGGATAACATAGTTTTTCACTGATACATGCTGTGTGCTGTTACAGTTCACATTAGTCCATTATGCAACGCTCCGCTGCAGTAAATAGACCAAATCCATGGCTGAAAAAAAGGACAACAAATTTGTTCCTCTTAAAGTAATGCTTGCTAAGAGCTATATTGTCTTCATTGCCTTTCAGAAAGTATATTAGTAATCCATTCAAGATTGCTCTTACCGAAGATGAAGCAAAGAGGCTTTAGGCAGAGTGCTAAAGACGAGGCGGGGATGTCGGAGAGTAGTGAGCGATAGACTGTTTTTGTCTTTTCATGGTATTTGTTGACAATAACTTAAATATTAGTCGTCTTATCCTTTAATGGAAAACCTATGGAAACATTACGGATGAACAAGTTGTAATTCAACACTGTGGTGCTTGGGCTTAAGCCAACAACGCCATGCCAATGATCAGTTATAACGTCAGCATGCTGGTGTTTAGTAGGTATACTGTGGTCATGTTCATCATCTTAGTTTGGCAGTTAACAATGCTAGCATTACCTAATTAGCACAGAACACAAAGGCTTATGGGAATACAACTATAAATATTTACAGGTATTTGGTCATAATCCTTTTACTATCAGACAAACCAAAATTTTTAGGACTCGCAATTAATTTTTCTTAGAATTTTCATGGAAACCCAAAAGGTATTATCTACAGGCCATAATATTGCGCTATTATCTTGGCTTGAGAAAAGAGACAGGAATAGTTGTTTATTAATTTTGCAACAACATCTCCATCGTGCAGTCATTCATTCATTTATTTTCTTCTGCTCATCTGGGGTCAGGTCATGTGACAGCAGGTGAAGCAGGTCATACCATACACCCCTCTCCAAACCAACACTTTCCAGTTTTTCCTTGGAGATTCCAAGGTATTCCCAGGCCAAATGAGATATGTCACCCCTTCAGCAAGTTCTGGGTCTACTCTAGAGTCTCCTCGAAGTGCCCAGGAAGCATGCTAATTAGATGCTTGAACCCTGTCAGCTAACTACTTTGATGTGGAGAGCAGCAGCTCCACTCCAAGCTCCCCCTAGATGCTCAGGTTCCTCACCTTTGTCCTTCAGTCATTACCCAGAGCTCATGGCCACAGGTGAGGGTTAGAACATGGATCGACTGGTAAATCGAGAGCTTTGCCTTCCGGCTCAGGTCTCTCTCCACCAGGACAGTCCAGTAGAATACCAGCATTACTGCTGCCACTGCACCAAGCAGTCTGTCTGTCTCACATTACTTTCACTTGTCAACAACATCTCCATCCATCCATCCATTATCTATACACTGCTTAATCCTCACTCGGGTTGCAGGGAGGCTGAAGTCTATCCCAGCTGACTCAGGGTGAAGGCAGGGGACACCCTGGACAGGTCACCAGTCTATCACAGGGCTACACTTACAGACAGACAACCAAGCACACTCACATTCAAACCTACGGACAATTTAGAATCACCAATTAACCTCAACATGTTTTTAGACTGTGGGAGGAAGCCGGAGAACCCGTTGAGAACCCATGCTGCACAGGGAGAACATGCAAACTCCACACAGACGTTCTAACCGGGGTCTTCTCGCTGTGAGTCGACAGTGCTAACAAGCAAGCCACTGTGCAGCCCTGAACAAGATCTCAAGAGACTTAAATTCCTTTGCCTGGGGCAGGAAGTCACCCTCAACCCAGAGGAAGCAATCCACTGGCTTCCTGCAGAGAACCACGTCCTCAGGTTTGGAAGAACTGACGCAAATCAGCTGCTTCACACTTGACTGTGAACTTCCCCAGAGCACACTGAAGGTTTTGGTCTAATGAAGCCAACAGAAGCAAACCAAACAACAGGGACAAAACTGTGACGTTCCCAAACTAGACACCCTTTTCACCTTGGCTGCACCTTGAGATCCTGGCAGTTCATGTCACAAACAGGATCAGAGACAAGCGCTTGGTGGAGTCCAGCACCCACTATAAAAACATTTGACCTTGTGGTGAGAATACAAACACAG